TAAGTTTAACAACAGCAAATGTACAATGTTGTACATTTGCTGTTGTTAAACTTATATTAAGGTTTTTTCTTCATTACCCATTCAAGCCTTCTCCAAGCTTTATATCTTATATGTTATTTACTCTATCTTATTTCTGTACATGTTTGGTCTATTTGACCGATCTTGTAACCACCATGAAAAATTAGGAAATAGATCTAAATTATGCTTTTTCATTATAGAATGACTACAAATTATAACAAAACCACAAATGTTTATTCTAAATAGCCTAAATCTCATAACATTATATATCTATTTATAATTTTTATTTTAATGACCTTTCATCTGTGTCTGAAGAACATCACAGAAGTTGCACGCAGGCATGTGCAGCTTTATGGTACTGTATCCAATAGTATAAAATTGGCCTTTACAAAGTGCAACTGTCTTAGCTTTGTTCTAGTGGACTTTGTAGAATACAATCCCATTTTTGTTGTACTACATTACATATGCATATATATTATTACTATTTACAAATAAATGTTTAAATTTCAGTTATTTTTCTTAACTATCTTAATACAGGGTTGGTCGATTTGACCAACCACATGACCTATTTGTAATCGTTTAAAGTCTTTATAGAGTTAATACTTTTAAGTTTCAATATAGTGTGTACATTTTCACAAAATTTGGCAATCTTTCAGTTAACATTATAAGTGTTTCACATACAAAAAATCATAATTTTAGTCAAGCTAAAATAAAGATTTGTTCATGAATATATTGAATATTTGTTTTGAATGGTCCTTGTGCAATGCAATTTTCATGTTATGATTAAAAATACTTTTCCTCATTTCAAAAATCTCAAATTTCCTTTGTGTAATTCGTATAATCTCTTAAATACATTTCAAACATTTTTTCCAGTAAAACTTTATATTTCATCTGTTATTTTTTCTACCCGAACTCAAAATGGGATTGGTCAATTAGACCAACCTCATAACCACTAAAAGAAAAAAAATTGAAATAAATATAAATTACCCTTTTTTCTTTCTAGAATGACTTCAAATTGTAACACGAAACTACATTAGTTTATCCTAAGTAGCTTTAAGTTCATAATAGTATACATGAATTTATAATTATATCTTATTGTTTTATTGCCTTTTGAACTGTGTCTAATTTCTATCTGCACCATAATAAGTTGTAAATCACTCAGGGCACATGCAGCTTATGTTATCTATTTGCTGCTTGTGTGCATCATTATTATTTATTTTACCTAACCTAAAAAGATCCATATTTTTACATTTTAGTTCCTTTTTTTAATAACAAATACAGAATAAACATGAAAAACAATAAATAAATTGCTTACTCAATCTTCTTTTTTCTTGCTGTCAATTATACTTAAGCCTACATATTTTATACTAATGGTAGTAGTGCATTGAATAATTTTTATTTAATTGAATAATGCACCAAAGAACATAGAATAATAACATGCAAAAAGCAGGCAATTTCCCCTAACTCTCAAAATTTTTCTGGCTTTCTAAGTACACGACAAGAGTGTTACAAATTCATCCAAGCTAGTCATTAATTTCCCCAAGGGAACGAAGCTTGTACTTTGAGTGAAATTTATGCTTATCTGTTCAGAACACATTATACAATATGTTATTTGATAAATGAAAACCTTGACTTTCTATTGGTTATTGGTAATGTATAATTAAATGTAAAAGAGAACTATTAACAAAGTCTGAAAGAGAAGATGTGACAGGTAGGTGTGGCACAAGGGGTGTGATTTTTTCTTTATAGCTCTGTAACTAAACAAAATTGAAGGCTATAAAAAATTATGGTTCATTTTAGCAGTGATGATTATACAGAGATTAATTTAAACATAACTTCGTATTTTTTGAAGGGGTGGTAGATAAAATAGAGAAGACAAGATGCCTAGAGAAAATATGTCACAAGTGTTACACTAGGGAAAGTTCAAGATTTTTTAAATATTTTCTTATAGAATTAATTACTTAAAACATACATACTATTAAAATATGGATTATTAGCTAAGTGTTTATTCTATAGTAATTGGTATAACATACACAAAAAGTAGTTTAATAGAATTTTGAATGTTAGACACTAAAACTTTCTATTATGCGTAGTAAAGGATACATTGAGGGGAAGAGGTTAACAGGACTGATATACCAAATGGTTAAAGTATTTACACACATTAACAGGATTTCTATACCATATGGTTACATGCATTAAGAGGATTGTTATACCAAACAGTTAAAATAGTTACATGCATTAACAAGATTGTTATACTAAACGGTTAAAGTACTTAATGCGTTAATGGGATTGTTACACCATAACTAAATGGTTAAAGTACTTAATGCGTTAATGGGATTGTTACACTATAACTAAATGGTTAAAGTACTTACATGCATTAACAGGATTTGTATACCAAGTGGTTAAAGTAATCGTATGCATTAGCAGGATTGTTATACCAAACAGTTAAAATACTTACATGCATTAACAGGATTGTTATACCGTAACCTAATGGCTACTTCACGGCTTGCTGAAGGTGTACGTGAAGCATTTCGAGGATCTACGTGAGTCTTCTTCCATGCTCTTATTTTTTCCCGCTCTTGCACAGTTTTCAAAAATACCTGAAAACGAAATTTTTGGTTATGCTAGTGAGCAAATTTCAAATATTTTTGCGTACAGTTAAAACATTTCTCGAGAACGAAACAAATGAGCAATTTCATGAAACTCTTACCTTGCCAATACCAGTAGCAATCTTTGAAAGTTCTTCTTCTTCTCTCTTCAGTTGTGGATCCTCTTCCATAAGCTCTTCGTCATCTTCTAACTCATCCATCATCTGTTCATCCTCACCAACATCCATGTCTTTAAAGCTTCCACTTCCCCGTGATCGTAGTTCTGGGTAAAAGAGAGAATAACATTTCATATGAAATACAGAAACTGAGGAACATAAAAATATTTTCATATCTGTTGTAACGAATTTGTTATGTATTTATTTTAATATGAACGTTGTTTGGATTGAGTTTATATTTAAAAACAGGCATAGCTTGTAGTGTTAGATATGCTTTGCACAATTCCTGCCTATTCTCCAAAGTTGTAGAAGATTCTTGAGAGTAAGAATCAACAATATATGTGTGTATATAAACGCTTTAACCAGTATTGTTATGTATAATTGAAGTTTCTAGAAAACATTCCCACACTATAAATATAACTAATGCCACGTGCCAGAGAGTGTCTATTAGTAGTTCGCTATAATCAGCATACTATGAACTCCAAAAGCTATAATTGTGATTTTTAGAACCCTTATCAATCGGAAAACTTAAGATATTCGACCAGGAATATTTATGAATTTCGAACACTACAAATCGTTTAACTTCAGTGTATTCTCATTGGACATTAGTATTTTTTACAAAAACATTACCGATTTCAATGGTGGAAAACAGCGTGTGTGGCCAAGAAGACAAAGTTAGCTAGCTTCCTGGCGAATTGTACTTACATCAACTTGCTCATCCTAAACCCTCGATAAGATATCAAGGAAGTTCCAGACTAAAAAGAAAACTTTATATTGTTTGTAGTAGCTATTTGTAATAATTGTTATTGTAAATTGTACAGTTGTGTGTATATTAAAATGTATTTGTGTTAAAAACGAAAATGGTGTGTATAAATCTTGTTGGCAAATATCATAAATTGACTAATATATCAGCATATATTTAAATACTAAATCCAAAGTACAACTTAACTGCTAAATTTAAATTATTAGTTAACTCGGCTTCAGACTATCTGAAATTCTACGTAATATGTAACATAATACTGTACAGCACTTACTTTTTTTACTATTTTGACTTGGTACTTTGTGAGTAATGGAAAAAGAAAGCAATAACCTTAAATATCATTGGAATTTCGTTTCTCATTCTTGCAATTATTAGAAATATTTAAATGGAATTCATATCAAGAACAACATTTCTTGAGCATTTTAATAACTTATTATAACCTATTTAAAAATAATAAAACAATTATGTAACTCTTTTCACAAACTATAAAACAGTGATACAAGTTCTTTTCGCAAACAATGAAATAATTATTTAAACCATTTTTAAAACTCTCAGTATTCAACACAAAACAGAGGAAAGTTAAACTATAAACAATGACTTTAGTTCATTTCATTCACATGCCAGTTCTTAAAAGAGATCTTACCTGAACTGTATCTTTAAAACATTTAACTGCACTTTCTTTTACTTAACCTGACTTAAACTGAGAATAATTTCTGTTCTATATTTTAAAATGACTGTTATAAATTTGAAGTGTGAATAGGATGACCAAACATCCTGGTTTTGTCTGTTTATTGGTAGTTTGTCCCAGTGTCTCAAGAAAATATCTTGTGGTGTACAAAGTCTCCTGGTTTTATGGCAAAGATATCAAACTATCAATCATGTCGATTCAGAAATGTAATAGACCCACTTGACTTGCTAATTGTTGTAAAATGTATTCTTCTGCTGCCAGACTCTCTCAAAAGTTCCACGTACGTGTGGTGAGAAACCCAGGTCTGCGCAGGTCTGAATGTGGAAATAATTAAGACAGTGCTCATCATCAAAGCACACCTTACACAGTCATGTACTAAATTTTATGACTATTTAATGAAACAAGAAATTCTACATTCCATTCATTCTTTACAAAAAACATGTCTAAAAAAGTTTCAAAGTGATGCTAAAACCTAAAAATAATATGTTTGAAAATGTTATGGATTCTTAAATAAATCCAGGTATGAAGTAATTAAAGATTTCTTGAATGTAAAACTTGACTACTTTTGCTCATTTCTTGTGTATATCAAAATCACTGCCAATGTTAATATATAGGAAAATATTTTGGAATAGTTCATTAAAAGTAAAGTAAACTAAATAAAACTTAAAAACGTTTTCAAATTTGTAATAACCATTTTGAAATTAGGGGCAAGGGCTGGACTGTCTCAGTTTTTGGGCTTGGAAATCTGGTCACCCTAAGTGTGAATGAAAATATCATTACTTTAAAAAAAAAAAAATTCATTTTATGAAAAAAAAGTCACAATTCACAGGTTAACCATACTGGTATACAGTAATAATTGTAAAAGACAGTTTAAAAACAAGCACCACTTACATGAATGTTTTTCTTGTCTTGATATTACATATTCAAGCATTAACAATTGTTTCAAGATAAAATTTATCATTATTTGAAACATCTCTTAAAATAAAGATATATAAAGAGTCCAATAAAATATTTTATATTTCTACCTTAATATCCAACAACAATCTATAAAAAATCTAATTAAGGTAGTTCTATGATAACCAATAAGTTACAAAAGTTCTGATTTCTTTGCAATATACTTGCAGAAATAGCTTGTCTTTCTGATAAAATATTTATTTTCTTTGTAAGAGAGATACACAATTCAAAGAAACTTGACTTTTGTTGAAAACATAGCTGAGGGTTCATGAAAATAAAGTCAGTTAAGGGCTTCATGATAAACAATGTTCTTAGTTTTTCCACATGGATCATTTACATAAAGATTTTTTGGGCTTCCAACATGTGAACATCCAACATAGAGCTGTCCATGAGAGAAGCAGGGCTCTTCCAACTGCAAGCCAGTTACCTTCGATGTGATTTGTTGATGGACATGGAAAAGCTTAAGCGAATGGGAAACTGTAGTCTCTTAAACTCAAATGGCATATCAATGGGAATCATTGGGATTCTCGGAATGAAAACATCTTCACCCTTGCCACATCCAGAAAGTATTGTAGCTTCAATAACATGAGGCACAAGCAGACTTCCTGCCAGTCTTATTCCATTGCACAGATGTGGTGGATCCAAATTTCAGAGTACCATGATCAGTGCTCCTACTTTTAAACTGAGATAATGTGGTGGGACTCCTGGAGGTTCAAGTTAATTCAGAAACTCTGGGGAATAATTGACCACTTGGGTTTGATCAGGCACCGAGTCAACTGACTTGTAGCACAGCTGTGTGTTGATGACATTGACAACATTATTCTTTGGAGTTAATATTCCTGTTTCACATAGCCACCTGTGATTTTGATAGTTTTCAGAAAGGTTTGGGAAAACCTTTGGTATGAGTTCATCAACAGATGTTACTTGTGTACAGATTGGTCCCATGTCAATTGTTCCTTGTTGATCTTGTTTGACTTTGCCATTGCCTAGTTGCAATAGACTGTCAGCAAATTGTCCAGATAATTGATCTCCATGCAGATGGGCTCTCATATTGGTAGATAGGTGGAATTTTTTTACATTTCTCCAAAGATGTGATGATTTTAGGCAAGCCTTAAGTTCATCGGCTCGTATGTCTCTTGGAATAACCGGCAATGTTTGACTGAAATCTCCAGCCAAAACCAAAGTGACTCCCCCCATTATCTTTTTGATTTCACGAATATCTTGCAGTGTCCTATCCAAAGCTTCTAATGCTGCTTTGTGAGACATTGTACATTTATCCCAAACAATTATTTGGCATCTTCTGAGAACTTCTGCCATCCCAGTTCCTTAACTGATATTGCATGTAACATTTTCATTTATTGTCAAGTTCAATGGGAGTTTAAATGCAACAAGGGCTGTCCTGCCTCCAGTTGCTGTAATTCCGGATGAGGCAACTGCAAGTGCAATTTGCTTATGTTGACGAACTTCTGCCAACAACAGGTTGATAACAAATGTTTTCCCTGTTCCTCCTGGTGCATCAATGAAAAAGATTCCACCCTTCTGATGTTGGACATTGTCAATTATTGCTGCGTATGAAACTGAAACTTCTTGGTTAAGAGCTTGTATATCGTAAGTGGTCTCACGCAGAACCTCACGATTGAGGTTGTCATCCTGATTGTACTGAACTTCAAAAAGGCCAAATGATGGAAGCTCTTTTCCTCCCAGAGACAATAATTTGTCCTCAATGGCAATAAGAGCCAAGTTAAAAATGGCATCATTGCAGCAAACTTCTATATTGGGATTTTGTAGTTGAGCCTGTTGCTTGAAGTCTTCTTACAGATCTTCTCTGTGATTTTGCTAGAGGGCAACTGGATTTGAAACACCACAAACTTGCAGCAAAACAGCAAACA